GGAAAACCAAAACCCGAACAGTTTCTTTCGGGCAGAGTTGGGATCAAAGCCAAGGCCTTGTTTACAAAGAGCGAGAGAATGCCACAGGAGAGACGCAGATGGTCAGGAAACACCGGAAAAAGCTGAACTTCACTGTCTCTGAAGGGAGCGCTGAGTAACAGTGACTCATCGATGTCCAAGATTAGATGGTTCAAGAGTATGCAGCATTTGAGAGGCTGGGGTAAGATAGGCATTCGCCAGCAAGCAGCTCACGCCTGGAGCCCCAGTTACTCAGGACTCTTTCACCCAGGAGCCTGGGTGACCTCATCTCTAAAATACACTGGAATTAAGTTAAGCTGTAGAAGGCTCAGTGAGTAGACATCATTGCCAAGGCTGGCAACCCGGGTCCCATTCTCCAAACCCACATGGCAGAGGGAGGGAACTGACTCCCAGCTGCCCTCTAATCTCCACACATGTGCTGAGGCACACACGGATACACACGTGTAAACGGAGACCGCGTTCATTTCCCAGCTGCCCAGACCTGAATAATCATGCAAAAACTATATTGATTACAACAGTTTGGCCAATGGCTCAGGCCTATTTCTAGCTAGCTCTTACATCTTAAATTAACCCATTTCTATTCATCTATGTATCACCACGAGGCTGTGGCCTACTGGTAAGGTTCTGGCACCTTTCTCCTTTGGCAGCTACATGACGTCTACCTGACTCAGCCTTGCTTCTCCCTGCATTCAGTTTAGTTTTTCCACCTAGCTCTATTCTGCCCTGCCATATCGTGTCAAAGCGGCTTCTTTATTAACCAATGGTAATAAAACATATTCACAGCACACACACATACACACAAACACACACACAAATAGAAAGTATAAATTTTTTAAGGTAAACTGCTAGAAATCTATTCACAGCATCACTCATAAGGTTATGAGATAAATTGTGAGAATAATTAATAAAGACTATAAACTTTAAGAGCTCCAGGAAGCCCTTAAGGATAATGGGACGCAATCATAGGACACACACATGTACGCTGTAGTAATACATGACACGTACATGCAGATCCATGTGACCCTAACACAGAGCATGAGAGGAGATATGCTTGCCGATCGGTCACTTTCACCAGAAGCTGTCGACGACTTTTGAATCTTTCTCCACACTTCAACATGTTTTGATAGTTTTCAGCAACCAACATAAATTACTTTATTATAAACAGGAAGACGTTTATCTAAAAATGGCAGTCTCTGGAGCAGCAGTTCTCAAACTGTGGGTCACGGCCCCTTTGGGGGCAAATGACCCTTCTACGGGGTTGCCTGAGACCATCAGAAAACACAGATGTTTACATTACAATTCATAACAGTAGTAAAATTACAGTAAAATCTTCTGGCTGAAGATGAGGACCTGTGTTGTAGGGTGGCATCATTAGGAAGGCTGAGAACCGCTAGTCTAGAGCCTCTTCAAGGAAGGGAGCACAGGCTTATTCCAGGGGATCGGGGTCGTTCTGTGGGGAGAACGTGATTGCCATAGCGCAGGGCAGGCTGGGAGGACGAGAAGAGTGTCATTGGGTTTCCAACAAGTATACAGGTGCTGTGGCAAGAGAGCTGAAGAGCGCCTCTGCACTTCCAGGAGGAAGCTGAATGAACGTCCCCACACAGCTGCTAGAATGAAAGTCATAGACAGGGCCCTCAGACGCTCTGCCATCTTGCTCAAGTGTGGCCGTAACACGTGATGTAAACCTAGGGATACCAGAGGGCATTTTCATTCATTCATTCATTCAGAAAAAAAAAAATCCTACCAGCCTTCTCAGGGTAAAAGAGATGAAGGCTGCTCCTCGGGAACACTGTATTCTAGTACACAGCCCAGTGTCTGGCCTGCCCCAAGGAGTTGGAGAGCGGCTGAGGGTGGGCTGAAAGAAACGGGCACAGCCTAAGCAGAGAAGCTCGACCACAAAGGACAAGGGGACTTGAGCCCCAGTGAAATTCAAGTTCTAAGCCACACCAGATGGTAGAGAGAACCTCGGGTGCCAGGCACAGGGGCTAGGACTGACCTCTGCCCGTGAGGACAGGGCAGAGGAAAGTCAGGACAGACGTACTGCCCGTGCACGTTCCTTCCCTCCGGTTTCCTCCTGCCCTGCTCTCTATGACAAGCCTTTGGAATGTCTGATGTGGTGGCACATGCCCATAATCACAGCATTCCAGGAGCCGGGGCAGGAGGATGATAGGGTTTGAGGCCAACTTGGGCTACATAGAGAGACTCGTTTCAGAACAGGGCAAAACGAAACAGTAACCTACCAAAACCTCTAAAAGATCAGTTGAGAGAAAATGAGCCACAAGCAAAGGCCCCGGGTACCTGGCAGGAGCTGTGACAGTCATAGTCTCCTCTAAGAAGCCAAGCTCACTGTCTGGCAGAGCTTCAACGGTAGTATTTTAACCTAAATATGCTTGATTCAAACAGGAGCCTTCCAGTCCCCAGTCGGATTGTTTCTGGGTACTACAGGTTGGGCAAGCTTTATTTCCTACAGCATCACTAGATAAACAGGGCCCCACACCCAGAAATCCACCCCATGTCCTGAAACCCCCTCTAAAAGCACACGTATAGACTTTGCAGAAACTTTGCTAAATGAGCAAAGCCATTTAAAATAAGTTGGGGTATTTCTCCATACCATGGCTACATGGGTTATTTCATCCTTCCAAGCCAGTGACATATGGACTAAGGCTGCCTCTTAACGGTCTTGAGAAACCTCCGAACACAAGCATCACTTCTTCAAGAATTCCTAGGAAATTCAAACAGGGCATCCCTGGCCCCAGCCTGCAGGGCCTCTGACAAAAGCCTGAGGGACAGCAGCCTTTCCGAGATGCTCCCTGCTGGGCTTCTCTGGAGGGGAAAGCACCATGAGAGCCAGGAACTGGACACATTCAGGCAGCCAGATGCTGGGGAAAGGCGGTGTGGATGTGGACCTCAGTGTTCTAACGGGCGCATGTCTACTGCGGGGGCGGGGGGCTGCTAATACCCACCATGAATCTTTATTGTGTTATATTTGGGGCCACTGAAAAGAATTCTCCTCCCTCTAGCCCGCCCGCCCCCCACCACACACATATGCACCTTTAAGTCTGACAAGTGTTCTCTCCTAATTTCTTTTTGCCTTTGTAAAACAAACGTGGTACACGGAGATCCCACTGCACTGTGTGTGCAAAACAAACGTGGTACACAGAGATCCCACTGCACTGTGTGAGAGCAGCTGTTTCCCAAGGTGTCCCCCTAGGAAGTTGATCCCCAGGGTCTGTGGGTCCTTCCCAGAGCCACCAATGCTGGGCTGCACCCAGCTCTCTGGAGTAGGCCCACGGGACTTGGTATCTGGGCCTTGGTGCTTGTGTCTCACAGGGTTCCCAGCCCTGCATTCCTAGCCATTCCTGGTGTAAATATTTGCCTTATTCCTTAGTGGAAAATGTACATAGAGAAAGGCACAGCGTGCAGACTCTTTTAGAAGCAATTTAAAAATCTCTTTGGAATAAGAGAGCAATGAAAGATTTTTTCTAAGTAATGAGAGTGTAGGAAAAAAGGCACTTTTTTTTTTTTTTTTCAGTTTTTGAGACAGGGTTTCTCCGAGTAGACTTTGTTATCCTGGAACTGACTCTGTAGACCAGTCTGGCCTGAAACTCTGCCTTTCGAGTGCTGGGATTAAAGAAGTGCAACACCACCACCTGGCAAAATAGGCGCTTTTATACACACCTAAAGAGATGGCATTAGCAAGTTTTCTGTAGGTCTGTACAGCAATATTTATTAAGATCAGCAAGATAGTGAAACAAAAAACTCTGAGTTAAATTTGGGTTTTTGGGGGGCGGGGGTGTTGTTTTGCATTTGTTTGTTTGTTTGGTTTTTTTTCTTTTTGGAGACAGAGTCTCCCTACACAGCCATAGCTGTCCTGAAACTCACTCTGTAGACCAGGCTGCCTTCAAACTCAAAGATCTGCCTGCCTCTGCATCTGAGTGCTGGGGTTAAAGTTGTGCACCACCACACCCAACCTATGAATGGAATAGTATGTAACCATTAATCACATCTTGAAGACTATTTCAACAACTATGAAAAATGGTCACAATAGGCAATGAAAACCATTGTGTGTAACAGTATGCATGGCTCAGTGGTTAAGAGCACTGACTGCTCTTCCAAAGGTCCTGAGTTCAATTCCAGCAACCGCATGGTGGCTCACAACCCTCTGTAATGAGATCTGGTGTCCTCTCTGGCCTGCAGGCATACATGCAGAATACTAAGAATACTGAATACATAATAAATAAATAAATCTTTAAAAAAAAAAGCACAGTCACATGGGGAATACAGTCGTGGAAAAAGAACAGTGGTTTTACTGGGGTGGTAGGATAAATGATTATTTTAATTTTTGCTTTAAGACATATTTCCAGGATTTTCTAAAATAGATTACTGTTGTATGAGGGAGTGGACAGACAGACATTTTAAAATCAATGGAGTGCAATGATGTGATTTCTTCATTGGGGTGGGGAGGTCCTGTTTTACCCAAGTCAGTTCCCAAAATTGCGCAGGAGACACAGGCCACAGATCATCCACCCAGCCCCACATCCAGCCAGCACACACCCAGAACACAGGCAGTGATTTGACTGACATATAGCCCAGCTGGATGCCTTCTTTCCAGTTTCCCAAGTAGTTGTCAGCAGCAGGGTGAGAAGAGATTCAAATCAAGCCTGCACCCCAACTCACCTCCATGAGGATGAGACACCCCCTCACAGAGCTTCTGATGGTTTATATTATCTATGCTGCAATAAAGCCTTTGACATCAGGGCTCTGGCTCAGGATACGTCAGGTTTCCCCGGCAACCTGGGAAAGACTTTACACCAGAGGTCCCACTGTGAGTGGGACCTGACTGTGACCTGGGACTTCCTGTCGCAGAAAGAACAGGAACTTCTGAACACCAAGGCCTGAGGGAAGGGCTGGATACTCATTGGTGTGACCTTTTCCAGGTCCCCCTGCAACGGGCAGAAGAAATGGCTATCTCCAGGCTGTGGCGGAGCACCTGCCTGCCCTTCGTGGGCATCATGATCCTCGCGGCTGTGGTCCTCTCTCTGATGCTCTACGCACTCCTCTGGAAGGCTGGCAACCTCGCCGACCTGCCTAACCTGAGAATCGGCTTCTACAACTTCTGTCTGTGGAAGGAGGACACTGGCTCCCTACAGTGTTACAACTTTCCTGAGCTGGAAGCGCTGGGGGTTCCTCAGGTTGGCCTAGCCCTGGCCAGGCTCGGTGTGTACGGAGCCCTGGTCCTCATGATCTTTGTCCCTCTGCCTCTCCTCCTTGCCCAGTGCAACTGCGATGAAGGAGAGTGGCAGCTGGCAGTGGGCTTCCTGGTGGCATCCTCCGTCCTGCTGGCCAGTGGACTAAGCCTCTTCCTCTCCTACGTGTGGAAGTGGGTCAGGCTCGCCTTGCTGGGGCCCGGCTTTCTAGCCCTGTGCTTAGCCCAGGCCTTGCTCATCTTCCTGCTTATGGCCACAGTTATGCTCCCTCCACGGGAAAAGAAGGACAAGAGCAAGTGGGAGAGCTGTTAGTCCAGCCTAAAGGCTCATGGGATTACAAGGGTTCGACTCCAACTGCACACCAAGGAGGTGCCAGAGAACCTGTGGCTGGGTGGGTCCTCTCTACCACCTCGTTTCATAGCTAATGCTGATCTCAAGCTCAGGCAGATGGAACCACCCACAGAACGGTAGGGCTGCTGTAGTGTCAAGGAGCCCGGAGGCAGCATAGATGGCTGGGGTACTTGCTGCTTCTTAGCATCCTTCCTTTCTCTGGAGGACTCGGAAACCATGCAGCTCATTAGCACCAGGACCCATGCTTTCAACAGCCAATCGGAACAGCTCTCACTCTAGGCTTGGGCAGGCGGGAGCCTGATTGTCAGAGAGGCCAGACTTCCAGGCTGACTGGCAAAAAGTGGCCAACAAGAACTCGGTGAGGGTTTACGGCAACAAACGGGATGGTCGGAAGAAACCGCGTTAACGTCAAGCCCTGTTAGCCAGCTTCTGTTCCTCTAGCGTGATGCGCCACACCAGAACTCCAGCCCCAGAGTTCCAGGAACAACCTCAAAGGGACTCAGCTGAGAAACACAGGGCACAAGAGAATCCTTGCTAACTTCGTGGGGTCCCCTGAAGAGGCCCCTGGACCTGACGCCGGACAGGAGTCAGCTGTTGAACCATTGTTGTGACCCAGGACTGCAGATGCAGGATGTGTCAAAGCCCTGACTGAATCATTGCACACCAACATACACCGCATCCCCTCACCTGCAGAAGGCAGAAGTGCGGTCCTTATTACGCACAGGGGCATCATTATCTAGTTTTCAGTGTCTGCATAGCACAAAACCTATGAGTTCTTCATTCTGTGCTCATCAAAAGCCACCGTGAATACAAAGAAACATGGACTCTGGTGTGATCTTTTGTCCTCGGTGTCTCCTGTCCCCACCTCCCACGGTGGAGGCCCTGGGTGGCAGAGAGGGGACAGGTGGTAGAGAGGGCCTGTTTGGTTCACCAGTCTGGGAGAACACCCTGCTGTTAGTCTGGCGGGAAACGGTGGGCGGCTGCCAGGATTTGAGGCTGGAGAGGGAAGTTGGTTGTTGGACTGTGTCATGAGGGAGACTGTATGCAGGCCTCCTCCTCAGGGTGAGCTCTGGCTGCCTATCTGGAATGCCCATGTTCTCAGCAGCTATAACTTTATTTGCTTCCAGCAAGTGAGCCCCTGACCTCATTTTTGCTGGTACTTGAATAAAACCCAGGGCTGGGATGCCAGACCTTCTGAGTTAGAGGGCAGTGCAGGTCGAGACTCTAATGGGATGCATTTGTGCATCCTGCAATATGTTCCCCCATTCAGAAAAGCCCCCCCAAATGAAAGCCTCCTGGGACTGGAAGCTGGGAGCAAGGCCTGGTTTTCAAGGGCGACAGAGGTAGGTGGTAACCTGAGTTCTCAACAGACCCCTCCGCTCTCAGCAGAGTCCAGTGAACAGTTCACATCAACTGAAAAATATCTCCCTGACATACTTTAACACATCTTCCTCCTCCTTTTCCTCCTTCGGGCTGCTGCTGCAGGGCGAGTCGGCAGCTTCTGGCGCCTGGGAAGGGCTCGGGTCTAGAGCAGGCGAGCTGCTCCCGCTGCCCTCTTCCTCGCTGCTGCTCCCGGGGGAACTGGTGTGAGGAGAGGCCGAGTAGGGAGGGGAGAGCTGCAGTTTATCAGTGGTCACCAGAGACGCCGTTTCCTGTTTTCGGCCCTGCAGAGCAGAAGACAGGACAGGCTCACCACCACAGGTTGTGTCCCTGACACACTAGTTTGTGTGACAGTGGCGCAGACACACCCTGAGCCAACCGCAAAGCCAGCACAGCACGTGACCAGGTCAGGCAGTGCTCCCACGGCATGGGCAGCCACCCTTACTTCACCCCACACCTCAAGCTCAGGACCCACTAGGGGAAGATGCAGGAATAGGTATGAGGAATAGCTGAGTGGAAAGGAAAAGATCCATCTGAAAACCATGGATGGAAAGGCAAGGCAAGGTAAAAGAGTACCAGGAGCTCCTGCTACAACACCCGTTATGGGCCTAACTGAACTCCACCGCCAGCTGGTGGCACAGCTTCAGTTTCTTGGAGACAGTAACATCCCAGATCACTGTAGCCCTAGGTTACCATGAGCACTGTAGAGACGATACATTGTTCTAAAACACATGGGGAAAAAAAAAAGAGAACTCTGCAACTTCATGGCAGGGCTGCCTCTCCTTCCAGAAGCCAGGAAACTTCCACAGCCTTCTGCTGAGAGGAGGGCTGGTAAGGAGCTCCTCCCCCACCCCCGTGTGCCCCTCACAAACGTGCCAGTTGTTGCCCACACCCCACCTGCAGAGCTAGTCTTACCCCACACAATACCCACCACACACAGGAAGTAGCTGAGAGGAACACAGCTGAGAAAAGCGAGCAAGAGGAAGAGGTGAGATCCTGACGCAGGCTAAGAGCACCTCTGATGCCAGGAGCAAGGACCTAGGCTAGATTCAACCCATGAGTCATCTCCAGTCACAGGAGTCAGAGGACACGGGGCTCACGTTACCTCGATCAGGATCCCCAGGGCCACATCAACCATTTCAGCTTCATTCATGCAGTACACAGTCTTCGTGGCAGGGGCCCTGAAATAAACACACAAAATCACAGCTGAGGACAGAGGGGCTCACAAGGATGAAGGAAACGGTAGCATCCTCCATGGAGGGGGAAGGGCAGACTGCTTCTCTGAAGAATTTCCTCATCCTGGCGGCCCAGGGACAGAGCGCAGGGCTACCAACCCTCCATGGACTCCCTCACAAGGAACTGGGAATGGGATGACCGCTGGCTTCCGAGGATCACTCCTCGAAACACCCAGTGGACAGCCAGCCGGACATTGTGGCACACACTAATCCCAGCACTTAGGAGGCAGAGACAGGTGGATCTCTGTGAGCTCAAGGCCTGTCTGGTCTACAGAGCTAGTTCCAGGCTAGCCAAGGCTACATAGGCCCATCTCTAAATCAAACAAACACTGGACACAGCAAATACAGGCATTCGGGTCAGGGCCCAATTTGTGCCTGAAAGCGAGAATACGTTTAGGCTGCAGCAACTACAAAGGGAACAGGTGGCCAGGGAAGAACCAGCAAGCATAGCACTGGAAGCCTAATGCCCTTTCTGAGAGCCCGGCAGGGCTCCCCCCCCCCACCTCCCATTTGATAATGGCGACCTAAAGTTCCCCCCCTCCCTAATCACTCCACCTAACTAATACCCACAACTTCTGATTTCTTGATGCTCTGTCCCCAGGAAATGCAGGCACCACTCAGGCAGCTAGAGTGCACATCCACCCCTCTTGCCTTCTTAGGATTTTTCTCACAAATGAAGAGCACTTTGGACAACGGGGCTCCTGGGGGAATGGTTTGTATACAGAACTCACTGCCTGGCCGGGCGGTGGTGGCGCACGCCTTTAATCCCAGCACTCGGGAGGCAGAGGCAGGCAGATCTCTATGAGTTCGAGACCAGCCTGGTCTACAAAAGCTAGTTCCAGGACAGGCTCCAAAACCACAGAGAAACCCTGTCTCGGAAAAAAAAAAAAAAAAAAAAAAAAAAAAGAACTCACTGCCTGTGCCAACAGCTAGGTGGCAGGACCTCACCACCACAGAGACTCGGTGGTGCTTCTGTGAGGAGACAGCTGAGACCTCAGACTCTGCTAGAAGGATGCCACCCACCCCACTGCCCTCCCCACTCTGACCAGTTTGTCCCACCTTGTTGCTACCCCCTCCTGCACAGCCGCTCTCCTCTTCCTTTTGGGTGTCTTTGCTGACAGCTCTCTCCGCTCATCCTCAGGGGCTGTCATCCATGAGGGAAGGATTCTCTTTTTGTTCTCAGATTTTGGGGATCCCATGGCTATAGTTTTTCACACTCAGTGACTTGCTTCTCTGGGGCAGGACAAAAATCACATTCTCCTGTCACACCGGGCTTATTTGTCCCCGATAGGTGCCCATCTTCGATGCCTACAAGGGGAAGCGAGTGGGGTAGCTCTAGTAAGTCAACGCTCTATCAGTAGCCAGCAACAACTGCTGGGCAGCGCAGGGCATGCTGGAGGTGAGAGAAACCCAGAAGGCCAAGTCATCTGCAGTGTGTCAAACGGAGGGACAGCGGCAGGTAGGACTAATAAGTTCTGTGACCAATCCATTGCTCTGTGCCCCACACAGGTAGCTGGGGCAACAAGAAATGCTTTCCTGTCACCTCTGCATGCTAGGAGGGAGGGAGGGAGGGAGGGAATAAACAAATTCTGGTCTCCCTTTCCTCTGCACCCCAAACAATCACCCATAACGACAGACTTCTCACCTTGGCAGTGATCTGGTTACTAGAACCCGGAGGCCTTCTGATTCACAGATTTCTTTAGCCAGTGCCTCCTTCCCCCGCCCCTACAACATATACCGCTTGATAATTTTGGGTCATTCAGAATTACTGTTTATAACTTCATTAAAACAAACAAATGAAAAACAAAGCAAAACAAAAAAACCTAGCAGGGCACCATCCTAGCCTGTCCAGCCACAGAACAGGAGTTGGTAAGTGGGATACCATGCAGTGGCCGTATACAGAAATGCATCAGACGCGACAGACAGTGCATGTATCATTACGTCCATTTCACAGACCAGAAACAGACGTAGTTAACAGTTAACGTGCACAACGTCGCAGAAAGCTGTGCATCAACCATCGAGCGGACAGCCAGGTCCTGCTGACCGCAAGGGGATGAGGTCCGGTGGTCGCCTGGAAAATCTCACCCAGAAGGCACATGCGGGGCCTCGTTGCACTAGCCGGGAGCTGGCCACGCCGCTCCCTCCCACCCGCAGAGGGCGCAGAGCAGGGACCCGGGAACAGGACAGAGCAGGCGAGTGGCAGGGCAGTGTGCTCAGCACTCCTCTCGGCCGGTTCCGGGGACGGATTCAGAACTGCGACGCCCTCAAGCATCGCACCGCCCGCCCCTTCCGGCTCCCGCGCGCTCCCGACCCGCACGCTCCCGACCTGGTCGCTGTCCGGCGCGGAGGGCCCCGGGTGCCCCCTGCAGACCGCAAGCCACATCCACAGGCCCCAGGTGCTATCCGCGGCTGTAGGGGATGATCCGCTGTTGGCTATTAGAAAGTCAGTGTCCAGTTAGTAACTAGGGGTAGAAAAGGGGTTCTGGTTTTGACAGTCCTGCCAGAGGATCCCCAAGAGGAAACCAAGTTCAACAGGACCCAGGAGACTGACAGTTGAAAGAGGAAAATCACTTGCATTTACTAATGTTTAACATTCAGGTTGGCGGCCCAGGGTGCCCTCTGCAGAAGGGCGGGAGGCGCCACCAAGAGGCCCAGGCTTCCCGGGGGTTTTCAGGGGAGAAGCCCCTGGAGTCTACCGAAAACACCGGAGCAGGCCGTCACAGGGGAGGTTCTTCCCTGGCACGCTGAAGTAAATCGAAGCCCAGATCGGATTCTCTCTGCCCCAGTGGAGAAATCAAGACTAACTAGATTCGATTTACAGCAGGTCGGTGAATCACACAGCAGTTTCTGTCGGGTCTTAGAACTGCAATCTCTGGATGGGTACACTCACACACACGGCTCCCCTGAGGAGCCTCTGTCTTCTCCAGGGCCCTTACTGGCCTCTTCTTGAATGCTAATCCTAAATCTTAAGCCAACAGCCTGGGCCAGGAAATCGAAAGTCCCAACTCTTAGTGGCATAAACCAATGGCTTCCAATCTCCCAAAGAGCTAGGGGACGGCTTAGCCAGCTACCCTTGAGCCGGGTTAGACCCCAGCCTTTCCGGGAGTGTAATGAAAGTGTACCTGGGGTGGTACAGTGGAGTTCACTGACTGTAGAGTCCTCAGCCCCACCGGATGTGAGGCAACCACGTCTAACGGGCTGGATGGGAGGGTGTGTTTCCTTTGGTTCTTATCCTAACTCCCCAAGCCTGCACACTTCTTAAAATTTCTCCATGGCCACCTAGCAAACAAGGCTTAAGACCAGGAGGAACCTGTGTGTCTGCCTACAGAGCCTGCTGCAGGGAGGAATAAGGAACCAAGCTAGATTTGCTTGTGCTGGAGTCAACGTGGGTTTTTATTATTTTTAAAACAACAGGTAAAACTGTGTGTGGTTACTGGATATAGTAACAAATGTCAGTCAGCTTTATTTAGTCAGCCCACTGTGAATTTATGACTGTACTTCCAGACCTCAGGCCGAGCTCCTGGGCATTTGAACACCAAGGGGACTGGGCTGGGGGCTGAGCAGAGATAGGTCCCTGAGCACAAGGGAGAAATAGGAATTTCCACCTGCCAGGCTTTTCACAGAAGCCAGGACAGGTTCTCACCCCCGGCAGAGTGGCTCAATCCGGGGTAGCCTGCCTTCATGGTTGTGCTTCCTGCAAACCTTCATTCAAGACAGTAGAGGGGGTTTTACTACCACGGCACCCAAGGATTCCAAAAACGGTCCTTTGAAGGAAAGGGTATGTTCCAACATGCTCTACAGATGAGTGCTCTTCCTGGGAGGGACAGGGTAGGAGGGACAGGTTCTGGGGTGTTCGTCTGTTTCTGAGCCTTAAAACTGCTTCCGTAAGGTGTGGGGAATGCCCTGGTCAGAAAAAATGTATCGTGAAGACCGAAAAACTTTGGGAGGAAAAGTTAAGCCCATGGACTCTTAACTCAAATGAAACCCTGGGTCACGAATCTGGGTGAGATAGTTGTGGAGAAAGGGCAGGGAAAGAGTTAATCTTTTCATGTCGGTATGAAAATGAGTCAAAAGAGATAACTAGGAGCTAGCTCAGCAGGTAAGCCACTGGCCATGCAGCCTGGCCACCTGAGTCTGATCCCCCCAAACCCACATAAAGGTGGATGGAGAGAACTGAATCTACCAAGTTGTCTTCTGACCTCTGCTGTGGCATATGCCTCCCACACACGTGTACACACGCATGTGCACACACACACACACACACACAAATACACACCAGTAATAAATAGAAAAGTACTACTCTGGTTTTTCCTATATATCACTTTCTACTTTTCCCTTCAGCCCCAACAGGGAGCCCAGGCCACAGTATGCTGCTGTTTTTCCCAATGTAGGCACCTAGGAGTTACCCCACCCCAGCCCCACAGCCCACAACTAGCCTAGAGCCCAAAGAAGCTATCAAATGACTGTTCCAAACAGTCACTGTCCGTGGAATTGACATTCCCTAGGTAGATAACAAGGTCACTCCTGCTAAGTGTGGGAGGCCCAGGCCCAGGCCCAGGCTCACTGACTCTATAGTGGCTCCTTCCAGGCTGGCCTCAGCAGTAGGATGTAGAACTGACAATGGAGGGGGCTTGGGTTCCTCCCCACTCTGCAAGGTCCTCACAAACGAGAGAACAAAGTACGAGTGTACAGAGATCGCTGGCCCAGGCTCAGCCGAGCCAGGCAGGAGGCACAGGCAGCTGGTATTATTCAAGCTCAGAGACCTCAGGCTGGAAGAATGAGAGGAGCCACTAAATGAGAGTGCTGGGACCAGACGACCCTGAGGAAAAGGGGATCTAGGGGCCCAGACTTCAGGCCCTGCTGTTGTCTGGAGAACTCTCTTAACCAAAGGTAACAGCTATCAGGTCCAGCAGAAGACACACTGATCTTGGCTTGAGCCCAGAAGATGGTACGGTAGGCTACATCTCAACTCTGGCAAAATCACAGGGAACTTAATGGGGTTCCGCCAGCAACATGGCAGTGGTGGCGGGTAAGAACTGAGGTACAAGAACCAAGGCAGGAAACCATGGCTATCACTAGGGCTAGGTGACTCAGACACTCTGGAAAGAGACACCAAGTAACTACAAGAATATTCTCTCTCTCTCTCTCTCTCTCTCTCTCTCTCTTTCTCTCTCTCTCATTTTTTTCCTTAAAAAAAAAAAGAAAAAGAAAAGCAATTATGTACAAAATACTGTCAATTCCTCTTGAACCATGAACACGGCGTGCACCACTGTGGCTCCTTCCTCATCATTTTATCCTGTGCTCTGTAGCATGTCCTGCTCCAGCCACAGTTCAAGTCTCTAGGAAGCACATACAGCCCACTCCAGAGGCTCCTGCTCCATTAGCTGCAGCTGGATGACTGAGCCCCCAACGCAGCCTTTCCCTGAAGATCCACAGCCCTAACAGTACCGAGCCAGAAGCACTGTCTGTTCTCTGTCTCGCCTCTCTTCCACCGGGGACCATTCTGTTTCCGACGAGTCACCGCAGGCAGGACATCAGAGCTTATGGGCCAGGAGGGTGGTCAACTTGATCTTGCCATCCATGGAGGCTGTGAGGCAGGTCCCACAGTCCATGGCGGTGCTCCAGTCCACAGTGACCACAGGGGCCCGGTGGCCACCCAGACTCAAGCAGCTCTCTAAAACTTTCTCGTCACTGCCCAGCTGCAGAAGGACAGGAGTGAAGGGGAACGTTAGCAGACATGTGCACATGTATACACAAACAATATACACTTCCATTCGTTTTTAGTGTCCAGAAACTACCTTGAGCCTGGAGTGGCCGCCCCAGTCCGAGAATGTGGCCCGGCTCACACCCCACCTTCCTAGAAAGCCTGTTTATACTTTCACTTTCCTGATGTGGTCAGCCTGTAGAACTTTAAGACAATTCTGAAGCCATTTCTGACAACTCTTAGTACTTCCCCTCCTCCCCTGGGAACCAAGGACATAACAGCTATGCATGCACGTACTGAGATGTTGGGAACTTTCCATCTCCCTGAATAGGGGCAAGATAACCCTTAGGTGTTGACTCAGTTACTGATGTTTTGACTTAGTCCCTGGGAAGGGGCAAAGTGACCCTCAGAAGTTTCCCTTGACCTCATCTGATCTGGCAAGCCAATTATTGGCAATAGCCCTTTTGAATAAGCCAATCATAATAGTTAAAGAACAACCCCCAGACACCCCTTCCTTCTGTGGTTTTTCCTTTAAAAATAGCCTGTACCAGACATTCAGGGTATTCTGTCCTCCCGACTGCTGGAAGAACCTGTCATGACAGAATTAATAACATCCTCATGCTTTTACATCAGCTGTGATGAGAGATGGTCTCTTGGGACGACTCCTCCTCCTCGGTGATTGGACACTAGGGTCCAACAAGCCGACCTCATGTGGACATTAAGTCCCTGAGATGCTCTTCAGAAGAGGGCATTTCCTCTGCTGCCTCGACCTGGCTACAGGCAAGCGCGCCTGCACCTCTTCTGTCTGTTTCCACAGCGCTGGCCTGTTACAGCATCACCTGGCAGTGTGGGCTGGCTCTGCATTGTGCACCTACTTACTCATCTGAGACGCCCTTCTCACGGTGAGCGTGCAACACCACCTCTCTCTGCCACTCGCTCACAAGCTCATGATCTCCTTCATGAGGAGATCACTATAAAAGTCATCAATTCAATTATTTATGGGTCGTAAAATGGAAGTTGAGCCAGGAGGTGGTGGTACACGCCTTTAATCCCAGCACTCAGGAGGCAGAGGCAGGCAGATCTCTGTGAGTTCGAGGCCAGCCTGGTCTACAAGAGCTAGTTCCAGGACGGGCTCCAAAGCTACAGAGAAACCTACCTTGGGGAGGTGGGGGAGAAGGATGCTGAAGTTTAATAGACTTCCTGAGTAACTGAACCATTGATGACAGTTTAAAAATGACACAGCAGAATGTGTCAATCCATCATCTGATTGTAGAGCAAATCTTGACTGTACATGACACAAACAGATGGGGCAAAAGGCTGCACCACTTACAACAAAATGCACCACAACCATTCGTCCACATGGAAAGCAAAGAGGGGCTCACCCAGAAGTCAGCTAGAAAAAGCCTTAAAGGGGGAAACTAGGCTTGGAGTGTTTCAGAGTGTCTCCAAGGAGATCCACATGAGAGATCGTGTAGCTGACTGTTGAGGGGTGTGAGCACAGTGATGCCCCCCGCCTCTGCCCATTCTGGGGCCCAAGGCCTGCCCTCTTCCTTTTCTCCAGCCCCTTCTCTTTCCATTCCACAGATGGAAGCCTTCCTCTAGGTCTTCCTAAGAACTTGGAGGCTCAAAAATGTGAGCCTATTTCTGCGTTCAGCAAAGGTCAGACGGAAAGATGGAACTCACTTCTAGTTCCTTCAAGGTTATAGTGTTTCTACCTCAAACAAAGGTCCCACCTAGGTGTGGACCAGAGAGTTCTGCTCTCTCAGGGTTATTGTCAACAGGTGTGGCTAACAGCCAGCTCTTGCAATCCAGGAATAGAGAAGTAGATCTGTTCCAACCTCAAATAAAAGTCTAAGGTTTCAACTAAGTTCCAGTTCCCTTAAGGAGATAACATTGGATTCCACCCAGAGAGTGGTTTGCCTACAGAATGTTTTGGTCTAGTGTGTGAGCGTGACTTGTTTTGTTCTAGCAACAGAATGTTTAACTATGGATGTGGCCCGTGACCTTCAATTGGTATGTTCATTTCCTTCTATCCTGTCAATGTAGTTTTTTGTCTTACTCCTACCTTTTGGGGTCAAGGGTTGTAAGCCCCAGTCTTCGGAGTTGTAAGCTCCATCTTTGGATGCCCCATCCCTGTGCCTGCCAAGTCTTGACCACTTCCTCAGTCTATTTAAACTGCTTCCCTGGAAAGTTTCCTCCTGGTCTCTTTTCTTTCCCCCAGTGGTCGCATTAGTGGCCTTCTGGTTCCCCCTCGGGCCACCCGAGAGCGCAGGAATCCCATTAAACCTGGATATATTTTTAATTTGGCTTGTTGTAATTTGGCTTGATAGGGATTTTTGCATCGGCAGAGAGCCTGCGTTAGGAAAAATTCCTAACGGGTATTTTAAGCAATTGGAAATTAAACATGGGTGAATTTTTAGTGCTCACTGGAATTCCCTCCTGATACTATCCTATATGTTTCTCCGTTTTATTATTTTCATTCACGTCTTCATATTCTTTACTAATATTTCCTAAATCCCCACACCTCTACCCTGGCAAGTGGTATTTCTGTCGAGGCTGATCCCCGACAATTTGGTCTCCACCCAGGTCCTCCTCTGGGAACTGCTGAGGACTTAGCTGTCCGTCACCTACTTTCAGAACTGTCTAACCTGTGTACGAGCCCAGGGAGAGCACTGACAGCATTTTCTTTTTCTTTTTTTTTAATAGTTATTTATTTATTATGTATACGATATTCTGTCTGCGTGTATGCCTACAGAAGAGGGCACCAGACCTCATTACAGATGGTTGTGAGCCACCATGTGGTTGCTGGGACTTGAACTCAGGACCTTTGGAAGAGCAGGCAATGCTCTTAACCGCTGAGCCATCTCTCCAGCCCCAATGGACGGCATTTTCTACCTCCTTGGTCCACTTCACAGTAGAGGTGCTAGGCCTAGCCCACAACTGCTGCTCAAAACCCAACCTGTTAACTGATGACCAACGGCATCAAGAGATACCGAGAGGACAGCTCAGGACCCCTCCAGCTCACAGACTAAATACCACTGACAGAGAAGCACTCGCAGATGAGTCTGAAGGCGGGAGATGGACTCAGCGCCAGACACATCCCCTTGGGCTCCGTCCGCATCACTCACCCACTGATGACAGGAGTAAAAAGAACAGCGCTTGCAGCCCTTTCGCCAGTATACAAAACCCAGCCTCAAACTGAGCAGCTCTGACTTGAGAGGATTTTTGTTTTTTAATGTAGAAACAGAAATAAAAACAATGAGGAGTCCCCTGGCTGTGGGGGCACGCCTTTAATCCCAGAACTCAGGAGGCAGAGGCAGACCTAAGTTCCAGACCAGCCTGGTCTACAGAGTGGTTTTCAGGATATCCAGGGCTACACAATGAAACACTGTCTCGAGAACAAACACACCAACAACAAAACAAAGAGGACAAGCCAGCAAGAAGGCACTGTAGGTAAAGACACTTTCTGCCAAGACTGAGCACCCAAGTTTGATCCCCAGGAATCACATGGTGGAAGAAGAGAACCGATTCTTACAGGCTGTCCTCTGATCTCTGACCTCCACATACACACATAATGTGCCATACGTGTACCCACACACATGCATACACACACACACACACACATACACACACACACACACACACACACACACACACATACAGGCAAACAAACAAACCAAGCAGAAAACTGGGCTGAGGCTCAGTGGTGAAGAGCACTGGCTCTTGCTGAGGACTTGAGTCAGCGCCTAGAACTGATGGGGGAGAGTCTTCTGTTTTGTGTTAATTTCATTGGTTAAATAAAAATAATTGGTTAAATAAAGAAAACTGCTTGGTCTGATAGGACAGAGAATTAGGTAGGTGGAATAAACAGAAGAGAATTCTGGGAGAAAGAAAGCTGAGTCAGTGAGTTGCCATGATTCTCCCACCCGACAAAGCCACAGGTTAAG